TTTAAGTTTTTAATAAAGCTATTATCTTATTATAGTATATATAGATAAAAAGATAAAAAAAGAGTTAAAAGTTAGATATAGATTAAAGATAAGTAAAAAACCAGTTATATAGATATAGTTATATATAGCCTGATTCTAAGATATTTCTTATATATAGTAAAAAACCTTAAAAAAAAAAAAATTAAATATATAATAATTTAATTATTTAATACTTTTTATATTAATATTCTTATTATATATATTAACTATATATTTATTTTTTTTAATATATAAAAATTTTATAATCTATATATTAATATTTATAATATTATATTAATTTCTATTATTATTTATAGATATTAATATTAATTAATTTACTAATTAGATAGAAGTATTACTTTTTAAAGAGCTATTTTATATTATTTACTTTAGTAATATAGATTACTATAGATCTATATATCTTACTATTTTCTTTATTATTAAGCTAATAGACTTTACTTATTTAGGAATAGTTCGTATATATCCCTGGTAATATCATGGTATCTAGAGCTTAACCCGGGGCAGTTACTTCGTATTGTACAGTTCTTTCACGGCGACCACTCTGTGCTCTGTGCTCTGGGTATCTCAACTTGGAATCTGAGGGAGAGCAATTGCTACACTGTTGGAATTCGGGAGATTACTAGAATTACAAGGGAAGGCTATGTCATCTTTGAGGAGCACATGCAAATTGAAAATGACTAGACACCTACGATCCATAGAGAATCACTTCGTATTTTCACTGTTACTTATTGATCGATAAGACTAACAACCTGGGATAACCGTATGCGTTGACCAGATTTTCACAATTTCCCATAATTCTCGCCTCGCGCCAATCGCATGTGAGCATCCGTGAAAGTGTCGTTCGCGATGGCAGCGAGCGTGCTCACATCAAGAGCCAGTGCAAAAGATGCTATAATACCAGCAAGGGCATTTTTCTTGTTAGAACCCAGACATCCCAATGCCCTCAGAGTTTCTCTTTGCGTGCTGTAAGCTGTACCTCCACCCACAGTCCCCACAGTCAGAGACGGAAAGAAGAGAGACACGATCAATCCCTCATCTGACTTATCGAATTCCATTGTGAGATGACTCCAAGATGATTCAGCGACGCTGCCCGCGTCCTGGCCCGTCGATATATACATTGCGGCAATGATGTTGGCAGTATTGATATTTGACCCGAATAGTCCGTTGCGAAGTCCTCCATCTTGACCTACTTTGTACAGGTCATACAAACGCTCCATAGTTAAGCCAAGAACTTCCTTGCACGATGCTGACGTGATCTTCCCCCAGGCTAATACTTGGACTCCCCTAGCGGCGTTCACATTACCCCAAGAGGGCTTCTTGTCTGATGCCAACTGGCCTTCGAGGTAGAAATCGGTCATGGCGAATTTGTCAGCGTACTTCTTGCGAAGCTGGCTGCATGCATAACTCGTCGCCTTGGTTACCATATTCTGCCCAGAAGCATCGCCGCAAGTGTAGTGACAGAAAAGATGAACATTTGACCCGATGATTGCAGGTCGCATTTCCGTTAGCTGGACGAATCGACTCGTAGTCTTTGCCCATGCTGCAAACTCGGCCTGGAATGCAGGGACGGACCGATAAAAGGCCACTGCCCTACCAGGATCCTGGAATGCGAATACAGGAGCGCGAGACATCCCATCTCCTAGGATATCAAACCGTAAGCCTCCTGAACGGTTGAAGGCCTTGCACCCACGAGAGCAGCTAGCGACAAGGGTCGGCTCACACGTAGCTAGTGGAGCGTAGAGAGTACCGTTGACATCAGGGCCAACAATATGTACTGGGCCTGCCAACCCGACAGGAACTTTGCTGAATCCGATACAATTTTCGATTTTGATAGACTGGATGTCTTCATTGTTCCGAGATGTTTCAACAAGGCCCAGCTTAAGAGCAAGAGACTTGAGCTTGGCTCCATCGGAAGGCATATTCGTACGGAAAAGTAAGGATATTAAAGATGAGGTACCAATTTCCGATGTATTTCTCTCTTGCTTTTGAGCGTCGATGTCGGTAGATCTTATACGGACATGTTGCTCTACTGCATAGCAAGTGGTGCTCTAGCGATCATGTATGATGAGTACCCTACCCCCAAGATCCACTAACGAAGTTGCCGAATGACATCAGCCCAGAATCACATGAATATATGTAAAACACCACCGCAAACCAAGATGTTAGCTTATAATGTGGTGAGAACCGATATATGGAGCGTTCTCCAAGCTACTGGCGGCGCTTCCCTTGAAACCACCCACATGCTTTGCTACCGCACCCCCGTGTGACGCAAGTTACCTCCGGATGCGCGCGTCCCGTCCCGAACGATGCAACCTCGGTTAGGACATGAACCTCATGATCCTACAAATGTCTATAAATGATGTCACTCCCGCAGAAAAGTTATATATCTTGCTAGATATGTCACTTCTTAGCATTAGTTGGATCCTGCGGCTGGTGCATCAGGTGGCTACAATGGTAAAGTTGGGCAGAGCTGAGCAGATCAGGCTTTGTCTATCGGTCACTATATTTCCCTAACAGCAAGCGTGCATTCTCCCGACGCCATCCTGGATTCGGTACTTCGATTGTCCATCTTTTCGTCTAGTTTCGTAATATCTTGATCCGTAGACTGGCTTCACATGCACATTAATCCGTTGGATCAGTCCCGCCTCGGGGCTGTTACGTTACATGTATGCACCCTGGCCGATATGACTCCAGCGGGGAGCTTCTTAAGGGTACAATAGACGTTGATAGCAGTCCTCTTGCCTCATTTTTGAAGGCTTTCTAGGTTGGGCTCTGTTGGCCGTGCAGATCACAGGCCCGTTCAAACGGGCAGGGATGGCGACTGCTGAGTCGCCCATTCCGGGCTGTGGCACCCTTGCCTTTCCGCTCAATACTGACGTCGCATTATGCAAGTTGCCTTCGGATACGGGCGTCCCGTCCCGAACGATGTAACCTCGGTCAGGATATGGAACCCACGCTTCTGCAGATGCACCAAGATGTTATCATTCGGCCGTCACATTATGCAAGTAATCTTCGGTACAGATTGAATGCAACGCTTGAATGTTGATGGAAGCAGCTGTCCTAGTGTTTCGGCTGATTAAGCCGTAGGCCGCTTTGCCAGCAGAGATATGCCGGTATTCATACCCCGAACTCCTCTCCTCAAGCAGCTCAAAAACTTGCCTCGCGCGGAAAGCTTTGATTCTAGAGTTATGCGAGTGGACTTGCAATTAATGATGTGGTTGGGGCGGGCAGATGGATCGGAGAATACCACTCCGGATGGCACACTCTCCAACCTCTTCGTTATAAAGCGGCCATTATAAGTATACTAATCGCTGTTCATGTATTAATCAGATAGATATCCTAGGTGAGCCCACAAGCCTGTTGACGTGGCAAAGTCCGGCGCTTCCTATGCTTAGACGATGCCACCGCACGCATTTCTTTTGGAAAGGATCACAGGGTGCATCAGTAAGATCGGGCACTAATTCAGCCGCACAGCGATTGGAACCATCTGTCACTGGTACATGCATAGTCTATCTTTTGGGGGTTCTTGGCGGTGTGCTGGTCTGCATGTTGGGGGCGTATTGCAACCCTCATATATATTGACAATATTTTAACACCAGCTCTCTACAGCCACTTGCATGATATCACACCCTAGTCAAATCAGTCGACGCCCCCTGGACTTGATATGTGACCAATCACCCTCACCTGTACGGTAAGGCTTCATTATTGTTGTTATTATTTGCCCTGTAGAGGTTGCGGTTGCGAGAAATTCAAAGCTGCTGAATGTTGCTGCGCAGAGGACCCACTCGACAGAGCAGCCTTACAAAGCCACCCAGCCACGTATTGTAAAGGCAAAGAACATGATTGGACACGATGGCCCGTCACCTACAATGCAGGTTTGTAGCCTAAATCAGCTACCCCACGGCCAATACTCGCCTTGAACTTGTAGACGAACAATGGAACTTGCCTCGTATAGTGCCAGAGTGAATGGTATGGCGGTTGAAACTTAGTCTAGGCTCTCTCTGGTAGTGAATAAACTTACGGTAATCGTAAACGGGCTGCTAGTTTATCACGGCATCTGTGATGATTAACAAGGTGAAACCCATGCCATAGTATGCATATTAACTGTGTGTGTTCGGCGCAAGTTGTGTGCTCTGTCAACTGATGTTTTGGACCATATACTGTATGGTAGCTTTGGACACCACGGAATGTCCCGGCCGTTCAGCTTTTTGAATTCACCTTCGCGGGATCTTGTGGTTCCGAGCCACCATGCATGCAGGTGCCAGCCCTGAATATGGCACGGAGCTCTCCGGAAAATGGTAATTGGCCATGAGGCTCACCCGCAGGCAGCCCAAAGCGCCCGTCAGCCCGCCACATGATTATCTCGCATCATCCGAGACATGCCCTTTTCTCGTTGATAGAGCTAAAGCCGTGGGGTTCTTTTGTTATGCTGCATGTCTGAGGCAGCTGCACGGACTAGACTTGCGGATCATCGTATCCAATCGCGCTACTGGTCTCTACTATCTATGAATAAGTGGCTTCTATGAATGGCCTTAGCAGCCAGCGCCTCAAGTTGACCGAGCTATAGACGGCGGTATCATGTCTTAGTCGCCTCTACGCGCAAATCCTTAAGCGGGTTTCGGAGCTCTTTATCGCCCAAACTCAACAAGCTGAGAGTTTCAGTAGTCAGTGTTTCCAAATGCCCATCACTATCGATAATATCAATATCGACTTCATGAAACAGTACGTGAGCTTTGTTAGGATATATTAGCAGAGCTGGGGCTTTATCCCTGGGCGCACCATATCTAGGCGGGATTACAGGTGGAAACTTAGACGCTCGCAGCGGCAGCGGGGGGATAGTGACTACTCATGTTTCATTGTGACACAGTCGAAGTAGCTGTAGGAAGCTGTCACATGGACCATCATCAAGCTTGCCAGCAAGGAAGGGATCCCGCCAAGACTCAACACTGGGTTGTCCAACCTATGACCGATTAGACAACCGCTTATTGAAATCGTGGCTGGCTGAAAAATTGCCATGTGGCTTTGGCAAGGGCGTTATCCATCAGGATTGATAACACCAGCCGACCACCTAGAGTGCTCAATAGGATCACAAATTCGTGCTATGTGTATGACTTCAGCTTAGACGCCATTGTAAAGCTCCCAGTGCCGTAGGGTGAGCCTATAAGCGCATTGAATTTTAGAGACGGCCCTTCTACGGCCCGATTACCGAAACAAGACTAGTAAATCTATACAATCTGTCACGACCTACGTTTTTGCACCTGAACTCTCTTATAACCTACGTCATGAACATATCCTACAACTGGCGACATAAAGCCTAAATGCTTTACAATACTAATACCTCTCTCTTCCATCTAAGAAATCCCATCTCCGTAATGTTTTATTGGCTCGCACTACTTAGCACAGGCGCCTCCAACCATTGATCCTCTTGATACTATCCAAAAATTTTAGCGTCGGACTAGTTCGAATCTTGTGTGAACCAATCTTACTCCTCTACAGGGATCCGATCCGGCCCGCTTCTGAATCAGCCGTCTCCAGACCAGTGCGGCTCCTCACGGCTAAATTCCCCGTGCTCTATGTCAAATACCTATCTACTCTACTAGGGAAGAGGGTTTATCCGTGCTGCACATGGAGCTATTCATCGGAATGGGTTTCTATTCGGCGGTGCTGATCATAGTGGTGAGTAGCTGTGTGCAGCTACTTTTCAACAGACGGGAAAGCACCCGACTCCCACCCGCCCCTAAACCATGGCCTATTGTGGGCAATCTCACCGACCTTCCTCGACGGGGGGTCCCGGAATATCAACATTGGCTCACACACAAGGATCGATTTGGTGCGTTGAGTTCTGTACGGGCCATGGGCCAAACTATGCTCTTAATTCACGACAGAGACATTGCTATCGAGCTACTCGAAAAGCAGTCCAAAAAGACGTCGGGAAGGCCGCCCATGGAGTTTGCCAATCATCTATGTGGTTACAGTCGTTTTTTCTCAACTCGTCCACATGATAATGTTCATCGAAGGAGCCGCCGTCTTGTGCACCAAAGGATAGGAACTAAGAAGTTAGCCGAGCGACATTATCAGGTTCACGCGGCGGAAGTAGGCCACTTCCTCTTGAAATTATTAGAAGAACCAAACAAGTTGGTAGAACATCTTAAAAGGTAAGAGACTCTGCGAATTAATGAAGAACGGAATTTGTGGCGTACGTGCCTGGACTAATGAATGTGTAGTCAATCGGGCGCCATTATTCTGAAAGTTGCGTACAATTACTCAGTCGAACAGAAAGTAGTGGATCCGTTGGTCCTGTTAATTGAGCGGATGATGGAGAACTTCTCGGTAGCCGTCGTTCCAGGAGCGTGGCTGGTTGACCTCATCCCAGTATTCAGATATCTCCCACAATGGCTCCCCGGGGCATCCTTCAAGAGAATGGCAAAAGAGGCGGACAGAATTAATCAAATGGCAGTTGAAATCCCTTATTCCTTTGTCAGACGCCAAATGGAGCTTGGCAGCTACCAATCGTCGTATGTCTCTGAGGCGATTGAGAGCTGCACCAATGGTAGCCCGGAAGCAGTCTTGCACCATGAAGACGATGATGCAATCAAGAATTCTGCGGGAGCCCTTTATGGAGGTGGTGCGGATACCACTGTGGCGTCGCTCTGTAGCTTCGTCTTGGCAATGTTGAAATTTCCAGATGTGCAAAGAATGGCACAGGAGGAAATAGACAATCTAGTTGGAGACAGCCGCCTACCTCAGTTCGAAGATCGGCATAAGCTTCCGTTTGTCGAAGCCACTGTTAAAGAGACTTTGCGATGGTTTGCAATCACGCCCATGGGCCTTCCACATTCGGCCGACGAAGACATTGAAATTAGGGGCTACCATGTTCCAAAGGGCACGATTCTTCTGCCAGCTATCTGGTGGTTTTTACATGATCCAGATATTTACGCAAATCCGGACTCTTTCGATCCAACGAGATACTTATCGCCCAGGAACGAACCGGACCCAGGCGCCTTTGCGTTTGGATTTGGACGTAGGGTGTGTCCTGGACGACACCTCGCCGACTCTACCCTTTTTCTGACCATTGCGCAGTTGCTTGCTGCGTTTAAGGTGGAGAAGGCAACGGACAAGGACGGCAACCCAATTGACCCTCCAGTGGAAAGTATCTCGGGTTTGATCAATCATCCTAAAAGCTTCCCGTACAACATCACTCCTAGAAGTCCAACACACGCAGATCTCATTCGCAGGATTGAGATGGAATATCCATGGCAACAGAGCAATGCTGAGGAGCTCGGGGACTTGTCTCCTATGAAACAAGCACTAGCGGTGCCGCAAATGCGTTGAGAGTTGTGAGGTGGACGTGTTAACTATCAGATTGACTTGCTCAGTGGCTTTCCTACATCGCCAAGATTTACTGCGTATGGTATGCTCTTCAGGCCCGTAAGCCACAAAGTTGAAGTCGGCAACGCCGCTGTCCTTTTCGTTGGGTGCCAACAGACTCATACTTGGAAGCGTCGAGCGGCAGCACTCTAAGGGAATTATATGTAATGCCGATAGGTAGCAATACACATCTGGGTTCGAATTTAGTTCCTGCGCGGTCGTAACCGCCCTTTCCCAGCAGTTCATGCAGGGAGTGACGCTTAGCTGATCGTCAGAGTGCCCTAATCCTCGCCCAAGCTTCCCACTTTTGTGCCCTAGCCTTGTTTACGAAAGTTTGTAGCCTCCCATAATTTCCGGTTCGAATGCTATCTAACCCAGTTCCGGGTTCTTGTTCAGTTTCATCGGTTTGGCGAGCATGTAAGTCTGCACTGGGTTCAATCACAATGATTTGTGAACTGCTACCAACATCCCCACCGTGACCTACCTTGTTCGCGATCACTGCGACCAGACACCAAAGCTAGAGTTTCCGAGCTATCATCAACACCAGCAACTTGCCCACCTTGTTCTGCTGCCTGATTTCAATTGGCAAATGAGACGCTATAGGTTGCTGCACCTTGGCCTGTCTGGGACAGGTATAGGCGAAGATCAAAAGCCTTTGCATCCGTGTTCTTAGTGACCTTTGGCTTCTGCATCTGGGTGGTGTTCATTTGTGAAGCTAATGTGTCAGCTCTTGGGGAGAGGTTGCTGGTTGTTGGGCGATCGTAATTATTATAAATGTATAGCCACCTATCGTTACCTAATTATCCAATGGTTCGAAGCATAACCAGCTTCCTCTTTATAAATATATGCTGAAACAATCTTTACAATCTTTATAATCTTTATAATCTTTATAATCTTTATAATCTTTATAATCTTTATAATCTTTATAATCTTTATACTCTTTATAATCTTTATAATCTTTATACTCTTTATAATCTTTATAAGTACTTTAATAGCTAGTAGTATAGGAAATAGTATATAGTATAATATTTTTTTTTTATAATTATTACTATATATAAGAGAGATATTCTAAGATTAAACTATATATAACTAGATCTATATAACTAGTTTTTTACTTATCTCTAGTTTATATCTAACTTTTAATTCTATTTTTTTAGTTTTTCTATCTATATAAGCTATAGTAAGATAATAGCTTTATTAAAAACTCTTACTAAGTATATAATTTAGCTATAAGCTCTAAGAGGGAATACTTATTATTTATAATTAATAATATCTTTCTAAGTAAATAAATAATTAAGTAAATAAATATAAATAGTAATAGATATATCTAATATTATTATCCCTTATAGATAGAGCTTAATTATTATAACTAACTAGATCTTCTTATATATAGAGATAATTATTAGAAAAGATTATTAAGATCTTATCTAGATAATTAATAGATCTAGCTTATATTCTATTATAAGTTTATTTATAGTAATAAAACTACTCTTTTATAATTAGACTAAGTAGTTATACCTATTAGACCTACTAATATATATAAATATTATTAAATAAGATAGTATTTAAAAGTCTATATTCTAAATATTCTATATACTTTAGTAGAATTATAATAGTAATCTTATAATACTTTATAATAATCTAAGATATTATATATAGTACTAGCAGATTATATAGTAGATTAAAATAATCTAGATTAAAGTAACTCTTTAAGATTAAGAAAAATCTATTTATTAGTATTAGGTATAATAGATATAATAGATAAAAAAGAATTAAATAGTTTAAAATTAAATTATTAGATTAGAAAGTTTATCTAGAAAAGTTAATTTAATTAAGATTAATCTAATAGTATTAGAATTATAATATATTAATAGTTACTATAGTAGAGTTTTT